TATTGAAGAAGAGCAACTCAAGCTGGTCAGCACAAAATGAAAGTACAGAGTGCTCCGAGGTTCTGAAGAGAAGGCAGAGTTTTTATGTACATAGAAGAAGAAGGTTAGCTTAAAAGTTCAGCATGACTGTTAACACCGTTACCTTGCAAACAATTATTTCTTCTGTATCAATCCATCAAGTATTTTCAAAACACACTTCCTGTAACGTTCTGACACACTTCCTGTAACGTTCTGATTATATATTTTTCCTAGAACAACTACATCGTCTTCTTTCTCTCCTCTTTGATTTCCTTAGAGCAACACAGGTTAACCTTTCACTGAGAAGCTCAATCTGAATGCCTGTATAATTTAGATGTTTATTAACACAGTATTGATTACTCTCTCTTACACAAAAGATAACATATTACACATACTCCTCACTTATTGACTGTTTCCTTTTCTGATATTTTGCATTTATGACCATAGTAATAAATCTGCTGACTGTTTTGCCCAATGATGATGTACATCTGCCAGTAACAAATGCCAGGTGAGAGTAACTCTGGTTATGAGTGATGGTAAGGTTATGTGTTCACCTTGGTTGGGCCATGATTCTTAGTGATTTGCAAGTTATGTAATGATATAGTTTGGCTCTTATGTAATGATGCAGTCATCCTCCATTTTGTGATCTGATGTGGCCATCCTCCATTTGCATATACTGCTGATTTTTGCATAGCAACCTGGTCTTTGGGACTTAACTATGTTCATAAATGAGGAATAGGTGTATACACACTCTTGCATCTTTCTTTTTAACAAAGTGTCACTTAAACAGGAGTCACTCCATAGGAGTATCTAAGATCTTCATTCCTTTTAATAGCTACATAAAACTTAATGCCTTCAAGTTAATTCTGACTCATGATGACCCTATAATATAGAGTAGAATGTCCCCATGATATTTCCAAGGCCGTGAATCTTTATAGAAGCAGATTTGCTACATCTTTCTGTTGCAGAGCAGCCACTGAGGAAGTAAATCAATCACAAAAGGACAAATACTATATGACCTTGTTGTTGTTGTGTGCTGCCAAGACGTCTCCAACCCAGGGCGACCTTATGTACAACAGAACGAATCACTGCTCGGTCCTGTGCCAGCCTCATGATCCTTACTATACCTGAGTCCATCGCTGCAGTCACCATGTCAATTCATCTTGTTGAAGGCTTTCTCCTCTTTGGTTGACCCTCCACTTTACCAAGCATGACATCCTTCTCCAGAGAATGGTCTCTTCTGACCACATGACCAAAGTAGGTGAGATGAAGTCTGGCCATTTTCACTTTCAAGGACCATTCCGGCTGCACTTCATCCAGGACAGATCTGTTAGTCCTTTTAGCAGTCCACGGTACTTTCAGCATTCTTCGCCAACACCACAACTCAAAAGCATCAACTCTTCTTCAGTCTTCCTTATTCAATGTCTAGCTCTCACATGCGTATGAGGCAATTGAGAATACCATGGCATGGGTTAGGCGCATCTTAGTCTTCAAGGATATATCTTTGTTCTTCAGCACTTGAAAGAGGTTTTTGCAACAGATTTGCCCAAATGCCATACGTCTTTTGATGTCTTAACTGCTGCTCCCATTGGCTTTGATGTAGAACCATAATATGAAGTCTTTGACAACTTCAGTCTTTTCTCCATCTATTGTGATGCTGCTCATTGGTCCAGTTGTGAGGATTTTTGTTTTCTTTATATTGAGGTGTAATCCATACTGCAGACTGTAGTCTTCAATCTTCATCAGTAAATGTCATCTGCGTATCTCAGATTGTTAACGAGCCTTCCTCCAATCCTGATGCCGTGTTCTTTTTCATATCATCCAGCTTCTCAGATTATTTGCCCAGCATGCAGATTGAATAAGTATGGTGAAAAGATACAACCCTGATGCATTCCCTTCCTGATTTTAAACCATGCAGTATCCCCTTGTTCTGTTCAAACGACAGCCTTCTGGTCTATGTATAGATTCTTCATGAGTACAATGAAGTGTTCTGGGATTCCCATTCTTCTCAATGTTATCCGCAATTTGTTATGATCCACACAATCAAATGCCTTTGCATTGTCAATAAAACACAAGTAAACATCTCTCTGGTATTCTTTGCTTTGAGCCAAGATCCATCTGATATCCATCTAATAATGATGATAGCCCTTACTCCACGTCCCCTTATGAATCCAGCTTGCATTTCTGGAAGGTCTCTGTCAACATACTGCTGCAACCTTTTTTAAATTATCTTCAGTAAGATTTTACTTGCATGTGATACTGATTTTGTTTCATAATTTCCACATTCTGAGGGATCACATTTTTTTGGAATGGGTACAGATATGGATCTCTTCAGTCAGTTGGCCAGGTAGCTGTCTTCCAGATCTCTTGACATAGCTGAGTGAATGCCTCCAGTGCAGCATTTGTTTGTTGAAACAACTCAATGGGTATTCTATCAATTTCTGGAGCCTTGTTCTTCACCAGTTCTTTTTGGTATAGTGACTGTGTATTCCATCCATCTTCTTTTGATGTTTCTTGCATCATTTAACATATTGCCCATGGAATCTTTCAATATTGCAATACAAGGCTTAATTTTTTTTCCTCAGTTCTTTCAGCTTGAGAAATGCTGAGTGTATTATTCCTTACTTATATAAAATGACAGGAATAGGCAAATGTATTATTACCAAAGTTTATTAGTGGTTACCAGGGGTGGGAGGGAGGGACAAAGGGGGGGGGGTGGAGTTAATTGCTTATGGAGCACTGATTTCTCTCTTTTCAATGTAAGAAGCTATTTTTCCTGTCTCTAATGTTTATCTGCTGTCATGGGAAAAGGGCCTAGGAGTGGGAATAGATTTATTAAGTGTAATATGGCGACATCCTCATGTTGCCAATACTTCATCAGGGTAGTTTCAAGATATACTCAGAGATGCTTCCATTCCTTGGTGTAAATGCCAAGTTCTTTATAGAAATGTTGTATAATACTTTTCTGCTCCAATGGTCTGTCTGGCTTTCTTTCCAAGTTTGATCACCAATTGATATTTTTTAAAGGAATAGCTAGTGTATTTCTCCCCTTTTAGAAAAGATTTATCAAGAGTTGGGAAGCATGCTACTGGGGCCCACTTTGCTATTCTTCTTCTTCTTCTTCTTCTTTTTAAATTGTGATTTGGGTGAAAATTTACAGAGCAAATTCACTTTCCATACAGCAGTTCACTTGTACTTTGCCTCATAACATTGACCACAGTTTACCACAATGCAACAGCTCCCCTCCCACTTCCTCCTGATAGTTACCTCTTCCCTGTGTCCATCCCTCCATGCACTCCTGCTCCCCCCAGCTGTCTCCCTGTGTATAAGCAGCCCTTCTTTCTCCCATGATTGAGATCTCCAAGGAGTGCATCTACCCTCAGGTACATGTTCAACTCATATGTCTGTCTTTTGTTTGGCTGGAAGCCACAGATGTGGGTTCAATTCCAGACTTGAAGGGCAGCTAGGGGCCATAGTCTCAGTGGTTCCACCAGGCTCTGTCGGACCAGCAAACCTGCTCTCCTCTTTTATTTTTCTCCAAATGCTTTTGAGTCTTGTTCTACATTTTTCTCCCTCTTTAGCCAGGATCTCCTACATAGATCCTCTTCCAGGTGGTTGATAGTGGCAGCCGGGCACTATGTAGTTCTTCTGGTCTCATAGTTGTATAGGCTGCAGATCAGATGGTATACCAGTTGCCAGGACTAATTGTTTCCATGAATTTTTGGTTTTCTTCATTCTTCTTTGTTCTGGATGAGGATTTGCTATTCTTCTTAAGTAAGTTGAGGGAAGGCTTGGGAAGTAGGAAGAGGGCTGTATTCAAGTGATAGTAGGGCCTTTTGAGGATGAGAAATCACATTGGGACTCCCATGACACCTCCAAGCGTGAGGAAAGGTCATGTAACATACAGGGGAGTTGGCACCTTACCTAGCTTTGTGTTTTTCCTCAGGTATTTCTGTTTGTAAGTTTTAGCCCCTGGCTACAGCCTCTTCTAAATTAGGTTTCTGTAATCACCTATTGCCAAATGTATGTTAAGTAAATAAAGTAAATTTCATGAATTTGTTAATTACTCTTATATCACTCTGGATTGACTATACTAATATCAGCTAAAGAGAACATTCAAGTAATATGCAAAAAACAAGAGTTAGTGAATTCACTTCTACTTTATTTATATGTTTATTTCTGTAGATGCTTTGATATATATATTGATATATATATGATATTTTCTACATATCTTGTATTACACACTTTGGAGCTATGTTCAGAGTTAGGGAGTGTAAATACAAAAATAGTTAACATTTACAGAGTACTGAATAACAACCCTATGAGAAAGATTCTTTTATTAGCTCTGTTTTACAGATGAGGAAACTGATGCATAGGGAAATTAATTGTGGCCTTTTCCAAGTTTTATTGACTTAACAGAGGTTTTACTTACTTTTTAATGCATATATAAACATGTTCTGCTAATTTTCGTTCTTTAACCAAAGAATATTTAGCAGATATTTGAAATGTCCATTTTTACATTTTACAGCCACTAGCTATCTATATGTTTTAATAGTATTTTATTACTAATATAAAATAGTATTTGGTTAATTTTCTCATTCTCTAAAATATTTTGTCATGATGTTTATTTTAGGGCTTTGGTTAATAGTTTCTGAGGAGAATTTACTTAAAATGAAAGTATTTTTGGCCTTGTGTGCTGAAATGAGAAGATAGCAGATGTTCAGTTTGCCACACATTTTGTAGATGACTTGCTTTATATTCCCATTAAAACTGGGCTGAAGGTGGTAGTTGTTCTATACACTTAACCCAGGGTCATTTTACATAAGTCATAACATCTTAATTGAAGAATGTTGAAAATAAGTATTTCTCTTTTCAGTAAAATTCCATACATTTTATTAATGCATAGCTTGTAATTTAGAAATGCTAAATGCTGAGAACTGCTTTCCACTTCTGGTGCATTAAAATACTACTTTCTGTTGTAGAAATGTGGACAACCAGTTTCCTGGGCAAGCAGTTCCAGCTGGGTTTCCAGTGTATCCTGCTTTCAGCCCACTGCAAATTCTGTGGTGGCAACAGATGTATGCTCATCAGTATTACATGCAATAGTAAGTTAATTTGAGTCAGTTTTTTTGTTATTCAATATATTTGTTTTCTTTTTTTTTTTAATCCTAAGTAAGTTGACTTGAAATCTCATTTGCTGATGTATTTCACAGTCAAATGCCTTAGGCACTGTGCCACCATGTTGTTGTTGTTGTTGTTATGTGCCATTGAGTCAGCCCCGACTCATAGCGACCCCTCCTTGGGTTTCCGAGGCAGTATCACTACGGAAGTAGGATTGCCCAACCTTCCTTCCAAGGAGTGGCTGGTGGGTTTGAACTGCCAGCCTTCTGGTTAGCAGTCAATTGCTTTAGCCACTATGCTACCAGAGCTCCTCTGTGCCACCATAGCTCCTTAAAATTACTAGGAGAAGAAATTCATAAGCATCTCAGTAGATAGATTCTTTGTTCTCAAGTGTTTGGCTAAAGGAAAAAGGGTTTCCATTTCAACTAAACCAGCTCCCAGCTCCTCCTTTCTCCCCCTAATTATATTTAGCAACGATAGTCAGATGTTTTCTTCAATACAATACTTGCGTACTTAAGAGGAGAACACTTCAGAAAGTTTCACTAGAAGATTGCAAGCCTACATAAGGAGAAAGGGGGTTGAATGAAAAAGGAGGTAGAAGGAGCCCTATGGTCAGAGAGCTCAGATCTGTGTAGGGCTCAGGTGGGCTAATAGTGGACTGTCAGTCTTGATTTTGGTCAACATGGAGCAATCTTAGCACTGAGTACTCTTTCTCAGCCTTTCTTCTTGTGTATTAATTTAACACTAACTATGGTGTAGTGCCTAAGGCATTTGACTGCTAACCAGAAGGCTGGTGGTTCAAACCCACCAGTCACTCCTGGGAAGGAAGGTTGGGCAATCTACTTCCGTAGTGACAGTGCCTCGGAAACCCAAGGAGGGGTTGCTGTGATTATGATCCGACTCGACGGCAGCAAGTTTGGTTTTGGTTTGGAACTAGCTTCTTTAATGTTCTCCTCTCCTTATGTTTATGATCCTGTTATCCTCTTCATTCTTTTTATCTTTTTGATCACTTTCTTCCTGTCCTTTAGTACCCTCATTTTTTCCTCCTTTTTAATGATAACATTCCTTGCTCAGTTTGATAGACATTTGTGTACTTACCATGTGCCTTATGGCTCCTATAATGTGGTAGGAAGACAGGAATCAGTCCTGGGCCGGGCCCCTTGGATTTCTCTCTTCAACAGCCTTAGTTGTTACATTAGCTCTCTGAATGACTCCCAATTCTTTATCTCCTGCTGTGCTTTATCCTGTATCTCCACTTAATTGTTGGAAGATTTCCAGTTTGCCCAAACTCAGTATGTCTAAAATTTGACTGCTCCATTCTCTCGAGTACATTCTCCTTCCTGACTTCTTTATCAGTGTTACTGTCTCCCTGAAGGAGCCCTGGTGGTGCAGTGGTTAAGTGCTTGGCTGCTGACAGATAGGTCGGCAACTCAAACCCTTCAGCCACTCCATGGAAGAAAGATGTGGCAGGCAGACTGCTTCTGTAAATATTACAGCCTTGGAAACCCTATGGGGAAGTTCTACTCTGTCCTACAGGGTCACTGTAAGTCTGGATCAACTCATGGCAGTGGATTACTGTCTCTTTTCATAATCAACATCCAAACAATGAACTTCAGCTTTGGTTCTGACTTCTGTTATTCCTGAACCCAGTAATTTACCAAGACGAGTTAATATGTTGTCTCTAGCTTCTGTCCTTTCTTTTATATCCTACTTCCAACATTTTTTCATTTTAGATGCTTTATTGCAGTAATTCTTTCTCCTTTTAGGCTCTTTACTACATGCCATCTTATATACTACTTCCAGGTTACTTTCTTAACACGTAATTGTATTGGTCATTCCCTGTCCCCTAAAATATCTGATGACTCTCTTGCCCACATTGTAAAGTCTAAAATCCTTATTCTTCTTCTGACTTACCCAATAAAGCTAACCTAATGCCCTCTTTCATAACTTTTTGGCTCTAGGCTGGCTCTTTGAACTTTGTGTGTTGCCATGGTATTAACTATCCTTTGAGTGACTACAATGTGGTTATGCTGGGTGTTTTATGTCCCTTGTCTCATTTGTAAATCTCATGAGAACCATGAAAAAGAAGTGGGTTTTGTGGCTTGCTAAGTTCTTATGTATCAGAATATCTGTGAGGTAGGAAGTGTTTGTGAAAACTACAAAGCCCTATATAGACATAAGGTATTATCATACTGTTTTAAGCTTTTGTATCCTGGGAAACTTTTATTTCATTTTGCTATCCGAATGCTAAACTTTTTGTTACGGATAAATTTAGACATATGAAAATGTAGAGAGAATAGTAAAATGATTCCCTGGCTACCTGTTACCTGATGTCAACAATAGTGAATTCAGGGCCAATCTTTTTCTACAACTTACCCCCTTGCTGGATACTCTTGAAGGAAATCCAGATTTAATATAATTTTGCTGGGAATCTTTTATAAAAAAATTGTATTCTGACATTCAAGAAATCAGATTGTAAGCAAACTTTAGGACCACAATCCTCTTTAAGTTGACAAGGACTTTTATCTGTGATCCTCAATTAGAAATCCCAAAGATCATTATGGGAGTAGAGGGATTGTTATCTGGGATCTATTTAATATTTTAGAAATACTAATATAAATCATTTATCATTGACAACAGACACATAGGGCAATTAGTAATATAAATTTTTAGACAAATCTTTCAAAATATATGCCTTGGAGTGAAGTAGTGGTGATGTGGGGGTATTCCCATGTAGAATAACAAAAGGCCTTCAGTGAAAATGAAAACATTTGAACCACCTGCCATTACCTTATAAGGTTATATAGTGAAAGAGAGAAAAGAAACTTGGCTGTTCTTACCTCTTCCACCTCTCCCTACCATCTCACACTACCAGCTAAGAGTGACCTGTACTACACCTTACCCTCAGTCTTCACTCCACTTTTCCATTGGAATTTGTGCTTATCTAAGAAATATGGGACAGAAGTTGTGAGATTCCATATTGGGTTTAAAAAATATCATATGGCAAAGTTTTTTTTTTTCTTTTTAATATTTTGGTGAATATTTCAGTCAAGCTGCAGTTTCAGCTCAGGCCACATCAAATGCCAACCCAGCCCAGCCTACTGCTCCACAGCCTCTAAATTTGCCACATGTTCCTGGAGAAGAACCCCCACCAGCTCCAAACCTAGTGGCTCAAGAAAATCGACCCATGAATGAGAATGTTCAAATGAATGCACAGGGAGGCCCAGTGCTAAATGAAGAAGACTTCAATCGAGACTGGCTAGACTGGATGTACACGTTCTCACGAGCTGCAATTCTCCTTAGCATTGTATACTTCTATTCTTCTTTTAGTAGGTTTATCATGGTAATGGGAGCCATGCTACTGGTTTATCTGTAAGTGATGTTCATTAACTTTTCATAGTTTCTTTTAATTACTTTCTAAAGCTGTTTAGCACAGAATCTGTCATAAGGTAGTCTCTCAGTGCATGTTAAGTAAAGGAGTGTGAATGCTGGCCTTCTGAAGCAAGGTAGATCATGCTGAACAAGAATGTTTTCTCCTTTACTGTCTTTTATATAAATTGTTAACTTTGGTAGATGTGCTCTGTTAATTATTTAGAACTTGTGAAAATGCACAGTGCACTCCTGTAGGAGGATGCCCTTTTGCAGTAATAGTAATCAGCAGTAAGTCATGTGGTCAGATTTGTTTTGTGTAAGTAGGCTAACTTTTCCTTGTCTCCTTTCCCCAAGGAACAAAGAAATACTTGAATTTCATTTTGAAAACTCCCAAAGAGAAGATTTTATGACTCCTGATATGTCTTAATATCTATCAAAGAGCCAGTTAAGCCATGGTAGACTTTTAGACTTGAATTGGCTCTTTTGCTATTGTTGCTTTAGAGAAAGAGTTTTCTGACCTAGAGTAAGAGAAGTGGTCTTTTCATTTATTATACTTCTAATCATTTTTCTCTTGTAGGGCATTGATTTTCTAGTTTTCTAGTGTTACAAATAAAAAACAAGTGTGACTTTTTATTTTATTGAACAGACACCAAGCTGGATGGTTCCCTTTTAGGCAAGAAGGAGGCCAACAACAGGCTCCCAACAATAACGCTGAAGTTAACAATGATGGGCAAAATGTAAACAATCTAGAGCTAGAAGAAATGGTATGTTAATGAGGTTTTTGTATATTTTAAATATAATTGTTTCCCAGGACTGGGTGGGGCCAAAATAATAAAAGAATCATAGGTCTTCCACATGTTCCATTTGTGGAATGGTACATGTAGAAAATCTAGATGACAAATTGTGGTGATTTTATCCTGGAGAAGTTAGAATATAATTTTGTGTCAGTCATCTATTAGAATTAAATAGGAAGGGTTAACATTATTCTTCCTGAAAATAACCTAGAAAAAAACTTATACACATGTTGAGAACTTATTTTATTACATTGGCACTTGTCTCTTTTGAACTTGAACACCAAGAAATTTTTGAGCTTAGCAAAGAGTTCTAATGACCAGATACTATACCACTTCCTTATTACATGCTCATACTCCTTTCTATTAAGGAACATAACTCTCTCCTTTCTTTCATGAGTTAATACTAGCTGTTCATATCACTTAGGAGTATATTTCTTGTTTTATTTGAAAGGAGCGTCTTATGGATGATGGACTTGAAGATGAGAGTGGAGAAGATGCAGGTGAAGAAGCCAGTGCTGTTCAAAGGCCTGGATTAATGGCTTCGGCTTGGTCTTTTATCACCACCTTCTTTACTTCACTTATACCTGAGGGGCCTCCCCAGGTTGCCAATTAGACCTGAAAAACTGTGCCAGCTGCAAAGGACTGTTTGACTGTAGGAAAGTGTTTTAAATAACAGTGCAATTTCAAAAAAATTTATAACTTTCTTTTGATCATCATGTACAGAGGTGTTTTTTTCTTTAAGCTTCCCATGCATATGAATATTTTAAGCACAAATGGACTACTAAATATGTGATTTTTTTTTTTTTAAGATTCTAACAGAACATAGTATAACAATATTGATCTTCCAGGTTTTATTCATTTCAATTATGTACATTATACCAAGACAGACCTATTTGTGCGTCTTATTTCTTTAAAGAGCTGCTTCTTATATAAATGTCTATAGTTAGTAGCCTAGCCCTTTAATGTGTAATTTGAATAAATATATCTATTTTCTGTGACTTATCCTAAAAGTTTTAAACAGAATGACCTCATAGTTTTTAACAAAGAATATTATTTACCTAAAATGTGCTAGTTGCATCTTGCCCAGCCATAAAAGCAATAAACTCAATAATCTTAATTTTGAAATTGAATAAAATAATGGATACTCTATTTTAAGGGCATGTATCCCATTAATTGGAATTAGTATCTTTACAAAAAGGCAGCTCTTCTGTGGAATTAACAGTGATATAAAATGTTTGATACAGGTAGTAATTTTATAAAATGAGATATGCTGGAAATCACTTCCTGTAATTTTTTAAATAAAAGGTCAATTATGGTAAACTGTCTTGTGGGGTATTGTTCAAACTCTCAATAATGTACCCATTTCATGCAAAGATCTGTGTAATTTTCAGCAGTTGTTCACAAGGATTGCGAAGTCCTCAAGGTATTTATTTTCAGCTTTTTCCTTTCCAAATAGTCATTTTCTATTTCTCATGTAGTCTGAAACCTGGGTAGTTGATTTAAAAATCCAAGTGAAAGCCAAAGTTAATAGTTCACAAGAAAGTAGTAAGTTTCTTACAGGGTAGTTAGCTAAAAGAAAATGTGGATGGGAGAACTTACTTTGTATCTCACATGAAAATGTATTATAAAATTATGACTGTAGAGCTGGCATAGAAATATATGGCTAGATAGTAGAACAGATGACGGAGAAAACATATCCATGAATTATTTTCTGAGTTCCTTACTTTTAATGACAAAAGTGACATTTCAAGGGATAACTGAAAAGTAAAACTAGCTTTCTGTTAATATCAAAACCAATTCTACATGACATCCCAATTGAGTGTGAATAATGAAACTATGGAAATACTAATGAAAATATAGGTGAATACTTATGTTTTGACATATATAATTAAAAGGCAAAATCACTGAGTGAAGAAAGAGTTTTCATGGAGTGAAAAAAATCATTCAGTGAGAAAAGACAAACAGGCCAATAGGAAGTGTGGATAGAAACATGGGCAACAAATGTGAAAAAAAATTTAGTGTATACAAGTTAAAACTATCAAATTGGTAATAGAAAGATACTCAGTGGTGGGTGGAGCTACAGAACAATGTGGAATAGTACATAATCCTTTCTGGAAAGCAGGTATCAAATTCAAAATGGGTACAGAAGCATTCAGTGTCATCTTATTGCTCCTAGATAAAGACCAAACTCCTCATATGGCTTACCGAGTCCTGAGAGTCAGGCTGTTCCTCCTCTCGTACTGTGCTCCTCTTTGATATCTCTGTTAACAGCTAGCCTGGTCTTCCAATTCTACCACTCTCTATTTCTAGTCCCAGGACTTACATAGTTGCTATTCATTTTGCTTGGACCATAGTCCCGTCCTTCTTTACCTTGTCAATACTTACTAATCATTCTTCAGATCTCAGCCTGATTGTCCCTTCCTTAGGGAAGCTGTTTCTTGGTAGCACCATTTACTTTGTATTTAGCAGCATTGCAGTTTACATTTAGTTTCTTACTTGTCTCTCCAAAAATATGTAAGTGTTCTGAAAGTAAGTTTATTTTTGCTCATCATTATATCCCCAGTCCTGGAAGAGTGCTTGGTTGTTAGTTTGATAATGAACAAATGATTGAAAAATATGCTGACCGTTGGAACCAGCAAAAGTTTGCATAGATAACATGCACATACCATAGTTTCATGTCATCATCCATCATTTGTAATAGATAGACATAGTTGACAGATGTTCAACAGGGTAAGCTCTGATACATTTGTACACTGAAATGCTCTGTATGTAGCCACTAAAAGTGATGTGGAAATGTGATGGCTGAAAGATAATCACAATGTAGTGGAAAAGGAGTAAGTACTTTTTTATATATATTGGTATATGCAAAGAGAATGGAAAGATGTACATCAGAAATGTTTATATTTGGAAGGTGGGGGGATTGATATTTATTTTTGCTTATTTGTTATTAAACTTTCTCTACAATAAGCATTTTTCTATCTATTCCTAAGTTACTTTAATAGAGAGATAAAAGACATAGTAGTAAAACTTACACCATTAGTGAGAGTCAGATCCCTAACCCTCTGTCAGTCTTGAACAAATAGCCATCTAAAATCTTACATTTTTAGTGCACAGCTTTTTTTTGAATATCATACAGAGGAAATGTAAATTTAAGTCCTAGAGGTCTTAAAATGTTACTGAAACATTAGGATATTGGAAATAGTTCATTAAAAAATTGTCAGTTTCTTTACCGGCTAAGTTGTAAGTAGGCTACTTGGATCCATAATTAAGAATAGCTTGTTTCAAGCTAAACAATTATGTATGTCTAAATGGAGAGTGTATCCAAGATCATATACAGGGTTGGCAGACAATGGGCCTCTCGAAGAGTATGAAGGGATGGACACTGGGAGGAGGTAACTATGGGGAGGAAGTGGGAGGGGAGCTGCTGCATTGTAAATTTTGGTCAATGACATGAGACAAAGTATATGTGAACTGCTGTATGAAAAGTGAATTTACTCTGTAAATCTTCACCCAAATCCTAATTAAAAAAAAAAAAAAAGAATAGCTTGTTTCAGAGCTGCTGCAATCATTGCATGCAGCTTAAGGGTCTGGTTTTTAACCTGGGTGCTAATTGATAAACTGTCAAAACTGGAAGAAATGTTCCATGGGTCATCTCCTAAAGTGGGGACAGTGGGGTTGGGAGAGTAAGAATGCAGAGATGTAAATTATGAGATTTAACAGTCTCATTTCTTCTGGCAAGAGTTAGAAGAGAACTGGAGCCCTAAAATTCCTAAAGGGCAGCAACATTCTGGGAGCTATTCCTCCCCAGGAAATGAGTAGGTCTTTGATTCCTAACTGAAGACTGGGGCCTAAAGAGTAACATATTAGTCAATAAATTTCCTCCTGGAAGCAGTGTGGCTAAGAGTTCTGGGAACACTAGAATTCATTACCCACTTTTAATTTTTTCCTTCATATTGTTAATTCCGTTATGCTATTCTCATTTTCAGTAAGTCTTTGTCAAACACTACAGGCCAGTGTCAGCTGTGTTTTGGAGAATGAGAGAGGGACTGTGTCCATATGCTGGGGTTTGACAGTGCCAAGAAGGCAGTAGTGGCTTGGAAATGGTTTCCATATAGCAAAAATACAGCAGTGAAGAAGCCCTGACTCTGGTCTCTAGGTGAAAATGTGACTAGCAACAACCAGGATGGATTTGTGGAATATAAACATATCTCAGGATTTGTCACATTACTTAGGGAGCGGCATTAATAAAGACTTGATTTTCTGCAGTCAAGTAGTAGAAGTGAGAGGGTCAGATTATGTTATATGGGTAAAAGGAAAGGGTGATCCCCTGAGGGCTGGAGAATTGGAAACATTTACACCATAGTTTGATGCCATCATCCATCGTTATTCTAATTTTTGTGGCTCTGTTTCCACCATCACCATTGAAATTTGCCTTTTGAAATTAGTGGGAGAAAAGGCTGTATTGGAGCCTCTATTATATAGTTCCAGTGGCAGTTTTGCCTCCTTGTTACTTGACTAATAAGTGTGCTGATAATCATCAGCTTTGCGTAAGTCTGGTGTAAGTCAGACCCTACGGCCTGATTGTATCTGGATGTGCTAATAAAATGGTGTTACTGGTTCTGCCAGACTGTACCAGGCTCTGGAGTATGGTGTTGTCAACTCACAAGTCTTTCCTGGGAGACCCAATTTGGAGTAGGCTCCCTCTCCAGGTTGCTTTGTTAGCATTACACCCTGTAACTGCAACCTGGGACCTGATAGAAACCTACCCTGTGCTGAGTATAAAGGGCTTTTATTTATTTTCTGTGTAGCTTATATATAAATAATATTTTGATGTTTTATTATTTAAACATTTAAAAGCTTTTTAAAAATATATTTACAACGAAAGAAAGAATGATACTTCTTAAACCTAAGTGTTGAGGAGCAATGCAAGCCTTTTATTAAAAGATACTGTGGAATATTTGAAATGAAGGTTTTTGTTACAAAGAGAGCACAGGATACCTGTTTCAAAGCACTGGACTTCCTGACTGTCCAGGACTCTTAGTAAGTGGACAGCTTTTCCCGAGCACAACAGGGCTCCTTCCCTGATATAAGAAGGGTAGCAAAAGATATGTCTCCCCTTTCTAGAGCAAAGCCCAATGGCAACAGCTCCCCATTACACTTGGAAGATGAACCCTGTAGCCCTAGTGTAAGGGACCATTTTCATGAATCCTCCTGCTTCCTGGATCAGACTGCTGAATTCTGGCTTTTCCTCCAGTTGATCTACTTTACATATTGAATATTCCACAGCCTCCATAAACTATTTCATATGTGCAGTAAGCCACTCCACCCAAGTATTTTCAAAGCTAGAATATGAGAAATCTGGAAAAATTAAGGTCATTTTAGAGTTTTTACCAGTTCACCTCTGTCAAAGGTTGCATAGGAGAAAGGCTGTCATCGTGCCACCTCTTCCAATTACATAATGATAAAAGTCATTAATTATGATGCTTTAAAAATTGTTACTACTATTATTTGTACACTTGCTATATTCCTATGCTAAGTACTAAACTGCATTTTAAAAAATTCTTACAACTTGAGGTAAGTACTACTTTATCATTCGTTTTGCAGAAGAAGACACTTGAAACTCAAAGAGATTAAATAGTTTGCTCAAGCCACACACATCAGTAAGTGAAAGAATCAAGATTTGAACCCAAGTCTATTCTACTCTGAGCTTGAGAGTTTTCAAATTAATTAATTATTTAAAAAATAAGGTATTGTTTTGGTTACCTAGTGCCACTCTGACAGGAATATACCACAAATGGGATGGCTTTAACAAACAGGAATTTATTCTCTTACAGTTTGGAGGCTTTTAAGTCTGAGTTCAAAGTTCCAGGCTCTAGGGGCTGGCCCTCAACTTGGGCTTCAGCTCTTCCTCCTGCTCCCGGCCCACT